CATTACGAAAATTCAGCAGTGAAATGCCCGAAAAAACATTGAAAGGATTCCTCATAATTTTGCTTTCCGGTATCTAATCATCAAGGAGCTGGTGAAGTGACTACATGTGGAAATATACTGGGTATGTTATTGTCGTTGTTGTTGTTGTTGTTGTACTCTGTGCTTACAGGGATTTTGATTAATAGCAAGCAACTTTGACATCCAGCCACTAGGTCGTAGGTTCGAGTCTCACTAAGGGTAAGTGAAAATCGGGAAGTTTGTTCTATAAGAACTTTCTTTTTCTTTCTTTTCCCTTTATTAATAGTTCTTTGAGAGGGACTCATTTCCTTTTTCTCTCTTCTGTATAAATGCATACAAATTTAGGAGTTCAATCAACTACGTCTTAATCTCGAGGTCCTGTATACATAAGATCATCACATTATCTATTGTCTCCGGTCCTATAGGCTGGTCGCCAGAGGCGAATGGAGTATATAATCAATAGGTTCAACTCAACAAATTTCCATTATTTATTACACTGAGCATAAATCCATCAATTTTAAATGTGAACAAATTAAGACTAGATCCTGAACCTATAATTTCAAAAGTCAGGTTTAAATCCATCAAATTTAAATTTTGGATTCATCAGTATCGGTCACTCACCTGCACCTTAATTTCAAATTAGTTAGATCGGCTATATATTTACTAGCAGTGTTGGAAATGAAAAAGAGAAAGAAGAATACCAGCAAATCAACACAATGAACAACTTATTGTAAATGAAAGGATCAAACTTGAATTGCACACAGAAGTTACATTATTACAGATCATGTAATTGCAGACTAATAAGGTTTCTCTCCTATTACATTTCCAGGGGGATTATAAAAACATATGGTAAGAGTAGCAGGTCCATTAGAACAGGTAGCTTGAGCACAACCTAATTCCAACGATTGTTTCCAAACAACCTGCGTATAAACACCACACTTATGATCCCCTACACATGAATTATTAGCATAGTTATAAAATTTCTTCTCAGCAACCCAATTATCTACAGCCATACGTGGGGTCACGGCCATACCACTAGCCCATAATTGATTTCCACCATATTTCCCACTGGTTAAATTTGCAAAGTTGCAATTTTGTTTGTTCCTTTGATAACGAACAAGAAGGCTAGTTTCTTTGGCTAGCATGGGACTCCATTTGAGAGGGGGGGCAACACCCACTTCAGCTCTTGCTTTGTTATGTGCATCCAAGAATTCTTGGGCCGCGGCCGGTAGCGCAGCGGGAGTTGTGGCGGCTGTCGGTGGAGGTGGTGGTGAAATTGTCTGTCCTGAGATGTGAGTTAAGAATAAAGAAGTGGTTAATAGGAAGAAGAAAAAGTTGGCCATTTTGTCTCAACTTTCAACTCTGTTTTGTTTTCTTTCTTTAATTCAGAGGTCAACTTGGAAGAGATGGTGAGTTGAGCTATGATATCTTCGTAAGTTCATATAGGGAAATGGTGACAGCTCTATGTATCGGGGTGTGTACATGCTTGCTATTTTCAACGCAGAGTTAGACTACAGTTGTATTGTGCACTTAAGAGGACGATTCGTAATCGTGTACTATCTAATTAGGTGTGAATTATGATGTGGATATGTGAAAAATGATTGTATTGCAAGATTGTTATGTGATGAAAATAATGCAGAGATAGTTATGCGATAAATTATATTCCCTATAGTAACATATTTGTTGTTATGTAAGATTGACTAGTTTAAGGGTTTTTTTTTTCGCTTTAGATGCTTTTATCCGCATAAATGCATGTACTTTTTTCTTATATTTTATTCCGTATAAAATAATTATTTCGTATAAGTCATACAGGTTAGTAATATATCATTTTATTTTTAGTATTAAACATTGCATGGCTTATGCAGATTTAATACCAAAAATCAAACGTTATATTAATTATACAGTGTTTATATTAGTTATGCATGACTTCGTACCAAAAACAAAATGATGTATCAGTAATATCAAATTATATATAAGGATTAGACTTTCTTATATCAAACCAAATGACCCCTTATTTAGAGGCTGATGAAATCTATTATTTATTTGTTCAATTGAATCCAATATTTTCAATGCAAAATATAAGTATAAATATGCAGCAAGTCACTAAAGTTTAATAAATTTTGAATTCATAAATTTTAAAATACAATGAATTTTCAATATTAAAAACCTTAAGATTTAACCCATGAAGATTGCTCATTAAAATCATAAATTGGATTCTATATGGTGTCACGATTGCTTTTGATATACTCATCTGTCTTTTTCCTCCGTAATTGAAAAGGGCAAATCCTGTGCATGTGGGGGGGGAGAATACTGAATAGAGGGGTTCATGTTGGTTATTGGACTTACGCAACATTAATGCACGTGAGTGACAACTTGCAGAGTGCTGACTATTTCTGAAGAAAAACATAGACGTGTGATATGACATGTTTTTGTTACTATTCGTGGAGTCCGGAACAGATTGTGATTTTTTAGACTCAAACGATAAAATTAAATGAAAAAAAAATTTGACTATCATTTATATATAGCGTGTGCTATATCTTAACTACACGTTTGTCCGTTAAGGTATAGAGCGATTAATAAACGCGTTATATTTGAACTTTTCTGCCCCACCAATAATTCACATGCACTTTACTGACCCACCAATAATTTATATGGGTATAGCGCATGCAGTATACTCGCTATATATATATATATATATATATAGCGCCTATTATGCATGCGCTATCCTCAATTATTGTGCCCTCGGACTGGGTTTTTTCTTATTTAAGGAGTTTCGAAAATATTTATTCGTTAAGTTATTTTGTATTTTTGTCATAATGTCTGAAGAGCGAAAAATTAGGGTTTAATTATATTTGGGGGAGGAGGGGGGGAGGATGAGGTTGTGGTGGGGAATAACTCAGTACGCTATAGTTGTTCTCCACAATGTCATGTTAAGTTGCCACTTACAATGGAGTACGATAGACTGGTATCGTTGTTATGTAAAAAAATAAGTGTGAGCAAATGTTCAGTTAATATTAAAGTAATCAGAAGATATCTGTATTTTGTTACTGCGCAAGGGGTTGCTTGTTATGCTGAGTTTAACATCGAAGACGATGAAACTCTGACAGATTTTTTGAGGACTCCAGATGAACACCGGGAATTTCTTATGATAAAAATATTGGAAATGTATGTCAAGGCTGAAGACGTTCGCAATATTGAGGTTCCGCAAAATAGGGATATCCCTCAATCATCGGGTGATTTTTTTGGAGCAGTTTTATCCGAACAGGTACCGGGTGAATGAGTTTGGCCAAATCTAAACTTATCTCCACGAGCAAATGAGGAGCGAGGACATAATTTCTCCCCAAGTTTACATAATCCATAAGCCGAGTGGTAAATTTCAATTTTTCTTTGTGTTACGATATTTATTTTTATGTATTGTACTTGTAGTAACATTCATATATTCTACGGAAGGTACCGGCCAAATATTAATTTTACAAGTTATGAACCAACAGATAGTTGGAATATGCCTAGTTTTGGTGTGTTGATCATGGTGGTCCATCCGGGAGTCATCAGCATCAGGATAATGTGAATCATGGGATATCAACACATTATGATTTGTAAGTTAAGTGATAAAGTTTATATGTAATGTTTGGATAAATTTGCGAAACTCATTATTTTATTGGTTGTGCAGTGAAAACGAACAACTTGAAGGTCATGTCCTTACTTTATTGCCCGAAGACAACATATTTAATTGGGATCTGGCAGATGCTCAGAGTCAGGAAGATGATAGTGATTATGAAAACAATGGTGATGAGTCTGGAGATGACACACCCTTCCCTGATGAGGGTGATGATGATGAGGACGGGAATGATGAACCTGATTTGTCGAGGGAGCATGCTCCACCTCCCGTTAGATCAAGAGTGTACGAGTCCCATGTGTCGTTTCATTCAAGGGAGATTCCCTACTTTGATCAGTTGCCAAGTATGCCGGATGTGGATGCCCTCGCAAGGGATCTTGACGAAATTCGGACAATAATGTGGGATGAAACTAGAGCAACGGTGTTGTCAAAGGGCATGCTTTTTGATGATAAAGCGCGCCTAAGCAGGGCGGTGTGAATATACAGCATAAAAGAGTGTCGTGAGGTCGTGGTTCGTGAGTCATCTCCGGAAGTATACAAGGCTATTTGTCGTAGATGGTTTTAAGGTTGTAATTAGATGCTGCATGCAAGAAAGTTGAAAGCAAATATGTGGATTGTAATACATTGGCACCCACACTTGTGAAATGGACTCATTCAGTGGGAATCATTTTAACTTGAATGTTGACTTGATTTCTCTTGTCTTGATTCCACATATTGAAGCGTCCATAAGGTACAAGATCAAAGAGTATATAACATCTGTCCACCAGGTACATGGATGTACCATTACCAAAAGAAAGGCATTTCTCGGGCGTAAACGTGCGTTTGAAATTGTTTATGGTAACTGGGATAAGTCATTTGCCGCTCTACCCAGGTACATGGTTGCATTGCAACACTTTAAACCCGGAACTGTTGTTGAATGGAAGCTTGAGCGGAGTCCGGAAATACCAGAATACATATTCAGATATATGTTCTGGGCATTTAAACCAGCCATTGATGGTTTTGTGCATTGTCGGCCAAGTAAACTTAAGTATATATGTACCTGCGTGCCTTCAAGTAAATCCAACAAATCCCTGTAATAAGGGAGATGATGTCGAGCCTCGACCTTGCGTGCGTAGCCTCGCCTATCAACCCACCTCCAAGCTAAAGGGATAAACGGTAGAGGTGGTGCATCCGGAGCGATCAGTGGTAGAGGTGGATGGAATTGTAGGAACCGCTACCTAATATAGATTGTGGATGTAAAATTTAAGGTATTTTTTTTTTACTATGTATGTTATAATCATGAAAAGAATTGATTATGTTTTCACCTGCAGCAGCGGTAAAAATCCGACAACGTCTCTGGGTGCCCATGCACGCCTGACACATCTACCTATATGATGTAACCTAGATCAGCTGCACCCCAGTTGTAACTAGATAAATCATCTAGCCACTCCAAATGATGTAGAAATATCAAGTTGACTAGGTTTTCCGAAGTGTTCGAGAACAGTATACCACCAAACATCGGCAGCAGCAATAGTTTCATGTGTCGGTCTATATCCTCTGGCAGTGAATCATTTGTAATCTCCGCGTCCATCGCCACCAGATGTTGCTGAATAGGCGTCAGTTGCAATCGACTGGCCCCACTCGATGTAGTCGGCTCCGCTAGCTGGAAACTGGTGAGCCGATGCAACATATGAAGGTAATCCACTCCCCTATATTCTCTAAGAGCATGCGGGTAAGCTACAGGTATACCATCAACATGCAGCCCGAAAAGAACCTCCACGTCCTCAAGCGTGATAGTAGCCTCGCAGATGGGTAGATGAAATGTGTGCGTCTCCGGTTGCCACCACTCTATCATAGCCGTGATCAACGCCCAGTCGAACTACAACTGGCAGATCTTTATGATCTTGTAGAAACCCGTATCCTGAAGGCGTCTAACTATACGGGGATGCAATGGATGGTCCCTAATAAACTCCCACATATCGTCTATACGTCTGGGGCGGAATGTCTTGGATAGACAATGCCCATCCCAGATGCGTGAAGAGCTATGGTTGCCCTGTAGCAACAGTAGCTCTCGAGATGCAGGTCCGGGATGCTCAGGGGGAACCTCCATGCCAATGTTTGTAAATTGAACAATATTAATTAAAATATTTTTGTGTTTAATTGTTTAACATCTTTAAATATATTGCAATATCTTTTATATTAATATTTTTTCTATATTATTACTTAGGTTGATACATTTTCTATATTATTATTTTATATGTTAGTTTATTATTTTATATGTTTGTTTCTTACTTAGCTGTTTTTGGGTATAATAGAATTAAATAATTAATTTTCATAACTATACATGTAATTAATAAGTATTCATATAAAATACTGAGTTTGACAGATTTCTATATTGTTGTTATAATGTTATTTTCTTACATTTGTTGACTAAAATTCGGGAGGGTTTGTGTTTGAACTGTCTTCTTTTTTTCCAGATATCTTTGGGGTTGATACATTTTCTATATTATTTATTTTATATGTTAGTTTATTATATTATTTTATATGTTAGTTTATTATATTATTTTATATGTTAGTTTATTATTTTATATGTTTGTTTCTTACTCAGCTATTTTTTGGTATAATAGAATTAAATAATTAATTTTCATAACTATATATGATATAATTAATAAGTATTCATATAACCATACTGAGTTTGACAGATTTTCTATATTTTTGTTTTTTGTGTTATTTTCTTATATTTGTTGACTAAAATTCGAGAGGGTTTGTGTTTGAACTATTTTTTTCAGATATCTTTGGGGTTGATACATTTTCTATATTATTATTTTATATGTTAGTTTATTACATTATTTTATATGTTAGTTTATTATTTTATATGTTTGTTTCTTACTCAACTATTTTTGGGTATAATATAATTAAATAATTAATTTTTGTAACTATACATGATATAATTAATAAGTATTCATATAAAAATACTTAGTTTGACAATTTTTCTATATTGTTATTTTTATGTTATTTTCTTATATTTGTTTACTAAAATTCGAGAGGGTTTGTGTTTGAACTATCATTATTTTTCAGATATTTTTGGGGTTAAAAGATAATTAAATAATTAATTTCAATAACTACAAAGATAATTTAGTAATTATTCATATAACAAATACTTAGGTTGATAAATTTTCTATATTAATATTTCATATGTTAGTTTCCAAAACATTTCTACTAAAGTAACACTACTCTAAATGGCCATGAACAAAGTCAACTACCATAAGCTAAAATTTATTATCAGTTTTACTACGCTAAATGGCACTACATTATAATTAAGGGCACAACATAACAATAAAGGGTACTAAACAACAATAAAATCACATATTAATATACGTATAACAATAAAATCACATATAACATTAATTATTCATAAAATAATAATTTATCTTTTTTTACTAATATTTTAGCACATAAATAATCTAATCCGGATAAAAAATAACAAATTAATTAAATCACAAAAAAATATAGACCACAGTAAAAAATAACTAATAAGCATTTTATATACATGAGTATTACTAAAAAATAAGTCCTAATACCTCGATTTAAAATTTTTTGAAATGTGAAAATTTGATGATTTGGGGGCCGAAACGAGCAATAGACGAGATCCACTGTAACGACAACGCCTTGGATCCGGTATTAGCTTGCTACAATACGAAGAAAATACACTTTTTGTGAAACGGGTGGGCTCCAATAGAATATTTTTGCTTAAAAATTAGGGGGAGGGGGGCGATTTTTGCCGTTTCTGCTGCTTTCTGGTCGGGGAAGGAGATGGTCCATTTTTTTAAGTAGGTGTAGCGCATATATAGGAGGCGCTATATTATAGCGCTTCCTGCATATGCGGCTATGCGCTATACCTCCCGTCAAATTTGAGTTCAAATATAGCGTGGTTATTCACCGCGCTATACCTTAACGGACAAATATACCGTTAAGGTATAGCGCGATGAATAACCCCGCTATATATAAAATAATAGTCAATTTTGTTTTCTACCTATTTTTATCGTTTAACTCCGAAACAACCAAACTTTAGTTCCGAACTCTCCTACTTTGATGTGCAGCTGAAGTTATTAACTTAGCCATGTGGTTTGCTCCTATTAACCCAAGAGTACCAAAGCTGCTTCCATTAAAAGCAAATTACACTACTCCGTGAAGCGGCAGGTGTTCCGCCCACCCTCTCATTTGTAGTAGAATGAAAGGAAAAACATATACAGTCCAAATGTAACTTTGGAGTAGAGTCAGAGATGTAAATTTTTAGTTTATGAGTTCTAATATCTAAAATATGACAACTTATTAGGTTGGGATATATAGTTTACACATAGTAAGTGAATTTTTTAATATAAAAATTAATGATTTGAACAAAGATTACTGGTTTCTGTAGAACCGTCAAACTCGTAATCGTTACTCTAGCTCCGCCTTAAAAAAGAGTTACTTAATATCTGTGTCAATGAAAATAACTAATAACCAAAATAATAGAGGTGTATGCAAGCTAGTCCAAATACCATCCAAAAATTAAACAAGTAATAAAAAATATTGTATCCCCTTAAATTGCATAACTGGAAGATGAGTGCTTTTTTTTTTTTTTTTTTAAAACCAAGGTAACCCTTTTTTCCTCCCTTAAATAATTTGGTCTCTCCTTTTCTTTCTGCAGTGAAATTTACAGTAGTACTTGCGACTTTTTCCAAAGAAATGAATGGAAAGAATCTTTTTGCAATTTGGAATAGTTAATTCTTCTGAAGCTCAATGGGGGCTTTATGAGTGGGAGAGGATTTTTTTTTTTAATTCGAGAAGTGTCTCAAGGCAATTCTCTATCCAAAGAATTTGTTTAAAAGCTTTTTATGAAAAATGTAGGGACAAGGGTCAAAATACCATCTGCTATTAGAAAATGATCAAGTTTACCCTCCGTTATACTTTTGGTTTAAAAATACTCTTGCTGTTATATAATTGGTTCAAATATGCCCCTCTTCCGTTAAAATTGTCCAAGGTGGACGCCCAATCCCAAGTAGCACTGGAATTTTGGCCACGTGGCATGCCACCTCACTGCCCCGTCCCATTTAACTCTTCTCCTTCACTTCTTCTTCCACCACTAGTACGTCCTACCCCTTCACCGGGAGTGCCGCCATTAACACCATAACCACCACTATTTTCACCATTTTCACCTTTCTCCCTAAAACTTGGCAAGTTTTCTTTCTTTTCCTAATATCACATTTCTTATAGAGTGTTAGCGGGGGAAACAACAATTCAAAATTGACCTCACTTCATTTTGTGATTAGGACATCGAAGTTTGACTATCTGTAAGCATTCCCAAGTCACTTAAAAAATTTCAAGAAAATATAAGTCTGTGATGAAAATATTTGGCTGTCTTAAATTATTTTTTAATTAATTGAGGGTGATGAATTGTGTCGTCATTCATATAAGAATATTAAACCAATTTCCTTCAAGTTCTCAACTGTTATATTTTGTAGCCCTTAAAGTTCAAAACCGTCACGAGAACAGTATTTCCAAAATCACCTGAACGTTATATCCATGCTCCATCCACCTTTTCAACTACAATTGAAAAAATGATCTACAAATTTTCTGGTACAAATAATTTTTATAAAAATAATAATCAACTAATTAGATCTTATGTCATCATATGTACCCTGAAGTTAAAAAATAGTAAGAATGCACCTGAGTGTAATCTTTTGAGTCGTATTAGGGATGATTCTAGTAGTTTACAATTTTCCTTGATTCTTAATATCATGTCCCCAAGAGCTTGGAAGTTGTTCCTGGTGAGGCGTTTTTCCTGTGTGAAGCTTTGAGGGTGTTAGTAGACAGAGGTGTATCCAATATTTTGAAAGGATGAGTGCACTATTAAGAAGAGGTGGATCCAAAATATAAATTTTATGGGTTCAAGCTTTAGTTCTTACGATTGCGCACTCATTACACTTTTAAAATTATAAGTTCAATTTTTTTAATTAGTAATTTTCTTACATCTATATCTATTTTTTATATTGAAAATATTGGGATCAGTTGAACCCATTGACTATATGCTACATCATACACTACTACTAGTTTTAATATTAATATTTTGTTTAATCATATAAGATTTCACAGCGACAAAAGAAGAATATGAATTTCAATGTGTGAAAATTTTGAAGAATAAACCAAACAAAAAAGCAATAAAAAGAAAAGGTACTTAATTAATACGCAAAAAATAACACCAGACACGCCCATCTCTCGCGGACGTCTAGTTCTAGAAAAAAAGAGAGGAAAAAATAACAAGATTGACATAATATTTGAACTCACAACCTCACATAGAGAGATACACCCAATAACCATCACATTATATAGTAATACTTTGAGCATGGGTGCACACACATATATTTTTTTTTAAAATAAAAAATTATAACATTACTATACATGATTTAGGGAGGGGAGCATGGGTTCACGTGCCCCATGAAACCCCCTAGATACGCCAATGTTAGTGGAGGTAGAGATAGTGAAAATAGTGGTCATAGTGGTGTTGATGGTGGAACTAGTGGTGAAGGGGTATGAGGTGCTAGTGGCGGAAGAAGAAGTGAAGGAGGGGTAAAATGGGTTGGGGGAGTGAGGTGGCATGCCACGTGGCCAAAATTCCAGTGCCACGTGGGATTGAGCGTCCACCTTGGACAATATTAACGGAGGAGGGGCATATTTGAGCTAATTGTATAACCGCAGAGGTATTTTTAAATTAAAAGTATAACGGAGGATAAACTTTATCCTTTTCTCATAGTAGAGAGGTATATTTGACCTTTTTCCCAAAAATGTAAACCGAAATTCAGAACTTCTTTCAAT